CCTTGATTAATGTTTGTCTTTATTTATGAGTTTATTCTTGAGACATGAATGCTTGCATGATTTATGTGTTGATGATTGGTTAACTTTTAGCCATGTGTTAGGATTGAATGTCTTGATAGATTATATCATGTTACTTGATGTTAGGCTTCTTGATAAGTCTTAGTTGATTTTAGGGTTTGACTAATAATGAATGTCTATGTGATTCAAAACCCTAATAAGTTGAGTTCTTGCTTGAATATAATTCTTTGCTATGTTTGGTTGTTTTGTTTTGAGATTTAAATATTTCATGATACATTTGAGATGTTTAGTCTTGATGCATGCTTAGATTTTTAACTTGAGGTTACTTGAGATGTTTTCTTGTGAGGTTAAGTGTATTGTTGAATCATTTCTAAATTCCTTGGTGTCTACCTTACCATGTCTCTTGTATAGTTTGGTAGCTTATATGCTCATGTGATTCATGTTTGGAGGCTTCCTATTGAGTGTTCTCTTACTATGATATCTTTTGCTCATATGTTTTGATTATAATCCACAATATGGCATGTACTCTAATTTGCTTAGATTCTTACTTGTGATTAAGACATGCCTTGTATTTGAGCATATTTTCCCACTTAAGCCTTTGCTTTGTGCATGAGTTGTGATTTGTTTATGGACATTTGTTTTATACTTTATATTTTTCTTGGTCCTTGATTACTTCTTGATACTTGTACATGTGTTTAAATCCAAGGGAAAGGGGTCATAGTTGATTTATTGTCATATGCATGTTCATTGTGTGTCTTGTTGCATCCCTCATCCCTCATTTACTTCATGTTTACCCTTAGGTTTCCTTTTTTATAACTTGAACCTCTTTAAATAAAAAATCTTGGCTTAGGTCATTGCATTTTCAAAACTTTATTTTCTTTTATAAATTCTTCAAGACATCTTAAGCATATCAATAATTTTTTCATAAGACTAAAAAACATAAAACTCATTCAAAGCTTTTGCCATTTGGATTTTTCTTTTAAAACCTTTTCTCAAGAGATTAGACATGAGTCATCTCTATAGTTGAGATATAAATCTCCTATCCCCATAGTAATAATGAAAATGATGTTGATTCTTTTCCATATGAAGAAGTTAGAGGCATACTTGTATATCCTATATCCAAGTTGGAGTCCTTCCTTCATGATGATGCAAATATCCATCTTCTCATACTTGTGAGTTGATTAGCTGAGTATTCTCCTTAAGGTGACAAAATGTCTCTTCATTAAAATAAATCAAAACAAACCCTTTTGTTATTTGTACTCCGAACTATAAGGTTTTGATCCTTCATGGTACGTAGGCATAAGACGTCAGGTCTTTTCAAATCAAAAAAACAATAAAAAATACTTCTTTTCTCATCTCCCCAACCTTTTTTTCAGCAAACACTTTTAACCAAACACAAATATTTCAAGAGGTTCCTATAGGATACTATAGATGCTTAGGATGCTAGTACTTTCCCTTAGAATAACCAACCCCGTACCTTAGTACTCTTTATTTCTTAGCTTTTAGCCTTGCATTTTTATTGTGGGTTTATTCGAACTTTTCCCCTTCCCTTGGAAAAATAAAAGTCCGGTGGTGAAATTTTGTTTTGCAATTCAAGTTACTCAATAGTTTGGTCTTTGAGTCTTCATCGCGACAAAAATGGCGATTTCACTTGGGAAAACCCCAAGAGAGTTAAACCTAACTTATTCTATTTGTGTTATTATTATTGTTTGTTGTTTTACTTGGTTTTATGTTTTTTGGGTGTTTTGTGATCCATGAGTGAAAAGATAAGTCCTAACCCAGACTTGAGTGCAAAATAAGATAGGATGGTGGTATAATTAAAAGTTACATATCTGGAGTATTCCTAAACATGAGTAACGTGTGATATAACCCCACTCAGTGGAGACGCTTTGATGGTAGTATTTTTCATTGCGAGTAGTCGTAATGGATTATTACTTTTGGCCTGGGAGTTTGAGAAGCTGAGGCATATAACCTCTCTTGGCATTTTTAGGATGTAGTGCAGTGATTATCCAGGTGTAGATCTGAGGTAGTTGATACATGATACTACAGTCAGACGAGTTTCTCTTGAGAATATTATTAGTTTGCACAAGTAGTTGTGCAAGCCGGTAATATCCAAAAGATGGATCGTTGACTCTGGGAAGCTTTTAGAACCTTGTTATATAGGTGAAATAAACCTTTAGTGCACACCTTGTGGGATGATTAGACCCATGGCTCCATGCTCGTGATGTCAAACCTTTAAACCTTGTTTGTAACCTTATCTCTGATTGTTGCATAGACATAGAATCATGCATCCATGAAAACTCTTTTGGCTTGGTTTCAAGGAACTTAGATGTATTTTCTTTGTAAACATCATAGGTATCATCATCATGGATTTTGGAAGAAGGAATACTAAGAAGTATAGCTTCAAAAATCCTGATTTGACAGAGTTGAGAAAGTTAGGATCCATGGTATCTAGTCCTGAGGATTTCATCGTTATGGAAAGATTTTGGGTATTCTTAAGACCAATATTGAAGATGGAATTCTTGACACTCTTGTGCAGTTTTATGACCCTCTGTATCATTGCTTCACATTTTCTGATTATCAGCTTGTTCCTACTTTAGAAGAGTATTCATATTGGGTTGGTTTTCCAGTATCGGACAAGATGCCTTTTAGTGTTTATGAGAAGATTCTTGAACCTTCAGTCATTGCATAATCCCTTCATTTGGAGACATCTGATGTGAAAGCTAATCTCACTTTCAAAATGGGAATTCAAGGGTTTACTTCCAGATTCTTGATGGGGAAGGCTTTTGTCTTAGCCAAAGCAAATAGTATGGATGCTTTTGAAGTCATCCTCGCATTACTTATCTATGGTCTTGTGTTATTCCCAAACATTAACAATTTTGTTGATGTTAATTCCATCCAGATATTCTTGATTAGTAATTCAATGCCTACTTTACTTGGAGACACTTAACCTTTTATTCACCATAGGACTTCTAGGTGGTGGAGTCATAACATGTTGTGCACCTTTATTGTACAAATGATTTAAGTCGCACTTGCCCTGATTCATACTCTTCATGAAAAATCCAGATAAGCTTAGGTGGTATCAAAGGCTTATGTCTCTTACTCAGTGTTGCACCCCAAAATTTTCCCACCTTTGACTGGCTTTTGCTTCGCATTTCATCTGCGTATCATCTAGGTCAATCATTTCTCGCATACTTCTCATGTTATCAGCCGGAATGGATTATCGGGATTACAGTCGCTTTGTTTGTGTTTTAGACAGTTGAGATGAGGAGATTTATTTCGGAATCGAGCGGAGTTTGTTCTCTTTCTAGTGGTTCAATCTATGCTGGTAATTCTGTTGTGTTTCGGTGTTCGACCCCCTTTTGTATTCGTTTTTATTTTCGTGTTTTTTGTGATTTATTGTTGCTTTATTTTGTTTAGAATTTGTTTAGATATAGATTTAGAATTTTGATTAGAATTGAATTTAGAATTTAGAATATTAGAATTTAGATTTTAGAATTTTAGTTTTAGAGTTTTAAATAAAATTTTATTTAGAAATTAGACTTTTAGAATAGAGCTTAGAATTTAGTTATAGATTTAATTAGAGTTAGATTTAGAGTTTTTTAGAAATTAGAATTATTTATTTAGATATAGAATTTAGAATTTAGGATTCTCAATAGAATTGTTAAAATAGATTTTTATTTGATTAGAAAATAGTTTTAGATTTTTAGATTAAGAATTAGAATTTAGATTAGTTTTAATTAGTTTAAGTTGGATTAGTATTAATTAGGATTTAGAATGGTTAGATGTTAAATTATAATTAGAATTAGGATTAGATTAAGATTTTATTAGACTTTTATTAATTAAGAATATTAGTTAATTATTTGTTAGAATAGCATTAATTTATAATTAGATTAGGTGTTATTATTAGTTATTGTTGATCAAAATTAGTACACTCATTAACAGAAAAATCAAAAACATCAGCCAGCTAGCAAAACACGTGTCGACTTCTTGGCATATAAAATACTGTTCATTTTCTCCTACCTTGAAAAACCCTAGACCTAGCCGTTTTTACTGTTCACTCTTTCTCCTCTCCAAAAACCAGTCGCGGATTCCCTTCCAACACCATCTTCTTCAGCTCGACCAAACCCCAAGTCCTCTCCTCTTTCTCACCAAGTTCATCATCAGAACAGCCCAGCAAAACCCACCACGAATCTGCGAAACCTTCAACGAACCTCCTTCACAAAACCACCATTTCAAAACCTTCATTCAATTCCTACAACCTCCGCCGCCGGTAACCCCTAACCCAGATTTCCGCCACAAAATCCATCAACATCCATCCGAAAATTCATCAGCCTCCATCCATGAACATCAACCTTCACCAAACCCAAACACAACCGAAACCTAGCTCAAAATCTCTTCCAAAACCCAGTCGTAACAGTTAAACTCGTTTCCTCTTCTCCATTATCTCATTCTAGCTTCCTTCCAAACCTCTTCTGTCACAAACGCAAACCCACCCGTGAAATCTCCACTCACCTCCAACCTCCAATGAGAGATGTGAGAAATTCCCTAATGTACCTCTTCTTGGTATACAAGGGGGAATTAATTACAATCATATTCTTGTAAGGCGTCAGTTTGGGTATCCTATAAAAGACAAGCCTTGCGACATTCTGGTAGCAGGTTTCTTTTACCTTAATGAAGAAGGGGATTTAGATTTGAAGGATAAGGTTGTGCGTGTTTGGCGCAATATTCATATGAAGGGTAAAGATCAGTTGAAAAAGAAGAATTGCATTTCCTTTGAGCCCTATACTCAGTGGGTGCATGCTAGAGCTTATGAACTTAAAATTCCATACCCCCTTGAGAGGCCTTCACTACCATTTGTCATATCATCATCATCCACCATTCCCATTGAGAATAGAGAAGAGTTTCAATAATTTTTGACAAGGATGAAGCTAGATAGAGACACTTGGAAAAGCAAGTATCGCGCTTCAAATGCTGAGAAGATGAAATTGGAGAAACAGTTGAAGGAGAAGGATGATTTGACCGAGATACTTGAGCGACATGCTGTAGAGAGACAAAAGGAGCAAGAGAATTTATTTTTCTCTAGCGTCCAGTCAGTTCCTAGTGTTCATGAGTATTCTGATATTCTTTCTACCTCAGGTGCTTGGAAGAAGATTGTCGACAAACCTGTGCTTGAAAGCGCTCAATTGAAGAGGCAGAAGAGGAAGCATCAGCAAGGAGTTGGACTTTCTTCAAAGGGGATTTCATTGAACCCATAGGATCTAGTTGTTTTCCTCTTGTATTTCTAGGATCTTTTGAGATTGTACTTCAAATTGTAATCCTTCCATTATTAATGAAATGAAGTTTTTTTTCAACTATTCAAAAAGTATCATCCCTTTATGATGTTTGCAATTTTTATTATTAAGTTCATTGAAAACTAACAAACAAATAACTCATTTTCATTGCATATCAGGCATCATTCAACATTAATTTTTTACATTCCTCCAGCTTCTCAGGGACTTATCCATGTCTTTTGAATCCGTTAGTCAAGTTGTTTTGCCAGTACAAAATTCGAGCTAGTCCTCAAAGAAGGATGGATCAACTAGAACAAGAGAATTGCGAGCTCCGAGAGGAAGTGACTATCTTGAAAGACAGTTTGGAAAGGCTCTCTACAATGATTGAAGTTTTGGTGGTTGCTCAGGATCAGCCACCTCCTCCTCCTTAGAGATTATTTCTGCGCCCATTTTTGTGGCACTTGTCAGCGCTCCTCAACACCAAATGCCTTCCGATTTTTCTTGGGGGATGCCTCAAAATTTAGTGCCACAAAGGTATCAACCGCCAGCGACTGAAGTTCATGTTATTTATGTTGTTGTGTATGTGCCACCTCCCGTAGTTCATACTACTACTCATATTGAAGAACCTGTTTTCCACATTCTTCCAAGCGGGGGAAAAAAGTGGTTTGGTCAAACCAAATCAACTACTTGCGATCTATCCCAAACCAAAAACAATTAAAATTGAACTCCTTGTGTTCTATCCTGAACCATGATTTTTGATCGACGCACTGATTTCTTAAGTTCTCAAACCCAACTGATATTAAAGTTAAAGAATTGAAATGCCTATGTGTGCCTATCTGAACCGAGCCAACCTGTTAAATTGAGACGTTTGCAGGTTGTTGTGCCTTAGAAAATAGTGAAAATTTAAACTGAACAGTTGCAAATTGAATGGAATTGCTGAAATGTTTGCAAATTGTTCACCGGTGGAAAACACTAAAAGAACAGTTTTAAAATTATTATGCAAATCTGGTGGTTTTATGCAATAATTCCTGGCTCATGATTCAAGGGAAAATTAATCCAAATGTCATAAAATATAGATGGACGAAAAATGGGTCTTGAAATTTGACTTGACAAAAGTTTTCTCGAACTAGAATTTATATTCAATTACCTTGTATCAATTCATTTTAACTGAAGTAAATTAATTTGGAGGTATACATATTACATATACATAATATTTATTATACATTTACTCATATGGAGTTGTACTTTGAGATCAATCATGTCTAAAAGTATTAGTGTTAATAGAAGATTAGACAAGCCCATGTAGCAGCCGCTAGGGTTTGCTTCGGCAAATCACGTGAAACAAACTGTCAAAGATGTTACGCAGCTACAGGGCAACAAACGTTTCAAAGAAGGATTTGATGGTTTCAACCCATCATCATCCACTCCTAAGGTGCATGAGGAACTAGTCTATGATCATACCCAAGAGTGTTCCACTGTGGTCAAAGCAGTGTCCAAATCCTACAAAGACACAGTGTTGGGAAAAGGTGTCGAAGGACCGTAGGAGGCCGGAGGTGAGGAGGAAGAGAAAGAGCCAGAAATGCCAGATGAGACAGCAGGAGTCAGAATAGAGGAGAACAAAATTGGAGGTTATGAATGTCTTGATTTTTTCCTTTCAAAATTTGAAGAAAAACGTATCCACGGACCATGGAGAAGAGGAGTTATCGTCAAGCTGTTAGGAAGAAAGATAGGATACAAGGTTTTGGAAACTCGTCTAAAGAAAATGTGGGTTAGGAGAGGAGTAATAAGTATCATAGACATGGGAAATGATTACTATCTTGTGGCGTTTTCTCATGAAGAAGATAAGGCGGCAGCACTCTCCGATGGACCATGGTTTATATACGACCATTACTTGATGGTAAAGGACTGGTCGCCCAACTTTTAGCCTGAAAGTGACACGATAGTTGCAATGGAGATATGGATTCTAATAGCAGGACTCCCCATAGAATACTATGATGCTAAGATTTTAGCAACTAAAGAGAATCGAATTAGGAAGACCATAAAAATTGACAAAAACACGACATAGATGGAAAGAGGTAAGTATGCGCGTTTATGTGTTAAAGTAAACCTAACCAAACCACTCTTGGCTATATTCTCCATCAAAGGAAGTATGTTCTAGGTTAAATATGAAGGGTTACATTTGTCACGTGGTAGGTTTGGTCATTACAAGGAAGGCTGCTCTATTAAAAATGTGTTGAACAATGAGAGATCCGATGAAGCACCAAATGGAACTAATAAGAAAAATGAGAACACTGAGATAGAAGGCATGTCAAATGGTCCATGGAGTGTCATTCAGAAACAGAGAAAAGTAATATATTTGGTGTCTGACCGAAAAAACCAAGCTCCGGTACCATTAATGGCGGTCTAAAAATGTTGGGATCTCGGTTCGCAACCTTAAGTGATGATGCTCCTGATTTGAATGTAATAGTTAATGACAATCATGGGGAATTATTATGTAATAATGAAGATGCTGCAGTGAAAGGAAATAATACGGTTATGGAAGTAAATCGTGACCAATCAAAGCAAGGCAATCGTGAGAATAATGCAAAAAGGATAATATTAATACAAGGTCAAAGGAGGTAGGGGACAAGAGTCATGTGGAAGGGAATAATGAGGAGAATATCAGAAAAGAGGTAAGAGAAAATATTAAAGTTAATAAAGGAAAGAAAAAAATGGTTGCTTGTTGGAGTGAGAGGATTAACAAATCATTGGCTACACGTGGAAAAATCTCATTTAAAAGTAGGCAGAATGGTGTGGAATTGTAGGGGAGCGGCAAACAAAGTTTTCTTTACATACTGCAACCAATATGGGATCCAGAACAAACCAGACGTCTTTGTTGTTATGGAAACTAGATGCGATCCAACTAAGTTGGATAGTACCTTTAAGAGGATGGGATTTTATAAGTGTTTATATATGGAGAATAATGGCTTTGCAGGTGGTATCATCATTGATTGGAAAGGAAGTAACATCAACATTGAAGTAATCACAAAAAACTTCTAGTTTATCCATGTTATAGTAAAGGAACCCAAGGATAGATACTGGTATTTTACAGCCATCTATGTTAGTCCATGTGATGATAGAAGGAGAGTTATGTAGGAAGAATTGACTTAAATATCTACTTTGACGGACAAACCATGGATGCTAGCAGGAGATTTTAACGACATTGCAAGCATTGCAGAGAAAAAAGGTGGAGCTCCTGCATCTATTAGGAAGTGTAACTTATTTAGATATCGTATTCAAAGTTTCAAGCTAATAGCTAGGTATAGGAATGACGGGACCTAAATTCACTTGGAGGGGCCCTATAAATCATGGAGGCCAATGTATATATGAAAAATTGGACTGGGTGTTGTGCAACGAAGAATGGCGTCTCGATTTTCCAAATGGCCATGTTAGAATCTTAACTAGAGTGAATTATTCTGATCATCTTCCTCTTCTCATCATGACTGAGGAACATGGAGAGTATGGCATAAAGAGACGGTTTAAATTTGAAAGCGTTTGGCTGACTAACAACAACTATCAAGAATACTTGAGTAAATCTTGGAGCGATGAAATGAGTTTGGAAGACAACCTTGCCAAAATTAGAGAAGAGGTTAAAGTGTGAAAACTCAAAACACTTATCAAGTTATATTTATTAAGAAACAGCTCATGGCAATGGCAATGTTAAAAGGCATCCAATCCAAAATTCAATGCAATCACTACGCCAGAAATGACTTTTAGCAGCGCAACAAAAGACAACGTTTTCTAAAAAAGCGCTGCTAAAGGGTCATGAAAAAAAAAACAAAAAAATAGCATACCTAAGACAGCGCTTGTTAAAAAAGCACTGCTAAAGGGGGGTCAAAGAAAGCGCTTTAAAAAAGCGCTGCTAAAGGGGGGTCTACGAAAGCGCTTTTAAAAAAGCGCAGCTAAAGGGGGTCATAAGGCAGACCTATAGCAGTGCTTTTAAAAGCGCTGCTAAATGCCAAAAAAGCGCTGCTAAAGGGGGTCCTAAGGCATACCTATAGCAGCGCTGCTAAATGCCAAAAAAAGCGCTGTTAAAGGGGGTCCTAAGGCAGACCTATAGCAGCGCTTTTAAAAGCGCTGCTAAATGCCAAAAAAAGCGCTGCTATAGGTTTAAGTAGCTAAATTTAAAAAATTCCAATATTTTCACAGAATCAGAACAGTCTTCTTCTTTCTTATTTCCACTCGCGAACGTTGCCCTATTCAGAATTAGAACAGTCACCGTCGACGCATTCCGTCCGCGCCTCCGTCCGTCGTCTTTCCTCCGGTCATTCCGTCGTCACCTCATTCTGCCGCCGTCCGTCCATTGTTACGGTATTTGAAGTTTTTCATTTTGCACTTTTCTGGATTAATGTCTTAGTATTTCATTTTTTTGGATTATATGATGTTAGTGTTACTTCTTTTCTGAGTTTTTGACTTGTTTTTCTTGATACCGTTGATGAAAATTACTCGTTTGATATTGGCTTGAGTTTTGTATACAAGGTGTTTGTTGAAATGCCACAATGAATTTACTTATGTTAACTTTCATTATATCTAGCCGTATACAAGGTGTTTGTTGAAATGCCACACCTTATATGAGTTCTTTTTACTAATAATTTTTATAAGGGAAATACTGCACATATATTCAATGATTTTTTAGATTATGTTGCTTTAGAAACTTCACACTATTTGTGATTTAGATGAAAGCTTTAAGTTTCTGTTAATCTTGAAATTTATTTATTTTTCTTAATCCTTATTTTTCTATGAAATAGTCTAAATTCACAAATAATCCTTATTTATTTATTAAATTTTAAAACATAAATATATAGATCCGACAACTTTTTTGAAATAAAGTTTGTTTGGCGAGTTACACAACATTTAATGAATTCACGTGTCTTCATGAATGTGGATATAGTTTTAGAATGTATAGATCATTCATACAGCTTTATGTTTGTATATGTATAATGATG